AATTTCATTTTATGATGAATGTATCAATACAAAAATAGGTTGCAAATGTTTATATACAAATTGTAATCATATTTCGTCCAATTTTCGCAGACACAGTCTAGCTACACATGTAAGAATGACTATACCATTACCATAACAAGTGTGGTTGTCTCTATTTTAATTGTTTTGATGGGAAGTCTCCTAAATTTTGTTATCTGGAGGAAAATGCACCGTAAGTAAATGTAAATTCCATTTTGGCCATTTATGTGTTTCTAACATCGATCCCCAGAAAAAGTTTATTTAAACTTCACATTTCAAATAAATAAAAATGTTATTTTTGGTCTTTTTAAAGTAAAAAGTAATACTTTTTAACGCATATGTTATGTAAGAAATACATAAATCGAAAAACCGTGTTTTTACCGAAACCTTTTAATATTGCTATCAACATGATATGACATCCTTTTTTTTAAAATATTCCTTCTGATATGTATTTAACCTTTTACAGAGAAAGGGACAGGTGTAGACACCCCAAATGACAAAGACTATTACAACAAATTCCCAGCTGTTGATATACGAGGTAAAATCAGATATACAAATGTTAAGGGAATTTTTTTGAACAAAGTAAACGGTGAAATTCAATGGTGTTAAATTCGATGTCTATATCCAACCAATACCACGACGGTATTTGAAATCATTGTATTAAAAGCTAATGTTATGGGTTTCAAAAAACTTTTACATTCATCCATGGGTGAATAATTATATAATTTGTCTACAAATGACCCAGACTGTCATAAATATGTAAAGCTGTTGTTAACCAATAAAAGTTCAATCCAATTACATGTATAAAAAAAGGTGTCCGGTATAACTTTATCGGAAAATAGTAATTTTTAAGCTTATAATTTTCAGATAAACAGATTGGGCAAGATATGTATGTATTGTTTTTTTTCACTTATATATTGAACTTTTTCACTTTACTCAAAAGCTTTCCCAGGATTGATTTCTGAATATTTTTTCTAATCTGACAGGAATATTTCGCCTTATGCAGAACTTAGTGAACTTGACCATCCAAACACTTATGAAGAACTTCATCAAAATGCAAAAGCAGGTGAAGAAATATAAATAGACGCATTGCTTATGTTAACATTTTAAAAATTTTGTAAAATTGAATTTCCTTTTCAGCTTTACTTACATAGACTTTTCTGATGATAAATGTCAGTACATATTTTTTATTTCCTATTGAGAGGACATCTGTCAAATTCTTCCAAGTAGAAAGTAGGAGTAATTCGGTTTTTATGCATTTTTTATCCCTCTTGATAGACCTTTACCACTATCACATTCATGTCGCACAACATGACGTTGAGAAATGGTTATATATTTAACATTGCTTAGGTACTTTTCTTATTGCAGTACAAGCTTAGAGTCAATATTGAACTAAACCCTTAGCACACGTACCTAAGATAATTAAGATTGACATATTTCTTCAGATTATGCTGTGTCTAACTCTGTAATACGTATGTCACAAGTATTTGACTATTGGTTTTTCTCACACATCTCAACTACAAACAAATGCCTACCATTACGCATTACTACTACGCTATGGAGGGGGAAAGGTTTAGTATTAATGTACAGTATATATATTCGGGAAAATCATTAAGAAATGTTGATGAGCAGCTAGATGTTGATGAGTCATATTCATGTGCAAATAACCTCATAAAAACATTACACCTTTGAAATACATAAAGGTTTAGGCCTATGCTGGAACAACGGCTTGAAGAAAAGTTACAGGCCACACCTCGCAAGAAAAGCAGAAAAATCTATACGGTCTCATCCGAATGTAGCACATAGTTAATTTTACGACAATCAATAGTTATGCCTATTCTAAGAAGGTACATGTAAAGATTAATATCTTGCAATTATATTTGTTTCAATCAGATTAAAAGTTTATATGGAACAAAAGGTTTCTAACATGACAGATATATTAAAGAAAAATGGATTAAAGTTAGTTAAAATCATGTGACACTAGGATGCCATTGTGATTAAAAATCCTGCGGTCAGTGCTTACACAAAGAAATTGTCATCATATCAAATTATATTTATACCCCCCGCTTGAAAAGCGGGAGGGTATGTAGGTATTAACTGAACTCAGTCCTGTGGTCACTGCTTTAACAATGAACAATGTCTTCATATCAACGGTTCTTGTGTACACGGATATTCCCCTGGATACAAGGGGCAAAACTGTAAAACAAATATTTTATTATTTATTTAGCTTTGTTTATAAAAGAAATAAAAAAAACGGAAATGTATTTGCACTTGAAAATTACGTAACCAGAAAAAATACTTGATGGTAAAAATTAAATTATAATCTTTATATTTTACATTTAAAATTATATCTTTTTTCGCTTTTTTCCCAATCGAGCCTAAGCAATAATAACAATATTTTCACAGTGTGAAATAGGGGTGTGTATGGAATCAACTGCAGCCAAAGCTGTTAACATTGTATAAACAAAACACAGTGTAGCCACGCCAACGGTACATGTCCAGGAGGGTGTTCTGTAGGCTTCAAAGGATTGCTATGTGAGAAAAGTAACGTATTTTGTATTTGAATGACAGTATATTGAGGAATATGTAATTGGCCAATTATTATGAGGAGTTTTCTTCTGATGCAATTCAAAGTTGTTTGACTAAGTGAACAGAAGGTAAAAATAAATGGTATATGTTGGAATACCACTTGTTGAATTACATCCAAGTTCTAAAATACAATTTATATAATGAGCCTTACAAACGAAGACAATGTTGTTACTTGCTTTGTCTGCAGGGACCAGTACGTACTGATCATGTAATCTATCCAATTCTTTTTTCACTTCTGCATTATTGAATACAGAATTATAGAGGGTTTTCAAATTGCCCCTCAATCTTTAAATACTCGATTTTAACATGGACCAGATACATTTAATCCATTCTGACAAAGTGTCAACGTCTTCTTTTTCATATCTGGCCCATCGTTTGGCGTAATTTTCAACAGAATCCATAATATTTATGAAATTTCGACGTCAGTTAAAGGATCGGGGTTCCCTATATTAAGGACCTTTTAAAATAAGTGATCTAAGCTCGTCATTATTAACTATATTTACGTCACCTGTAATAACGTGTCCAGCAGGACTATAGTTATAGGGCGAAGAAGAACATGAACACAATGGAGGTTATGCTTCAGATACTCGATATTCAGGCCATGTAATAAAAATTGTAAAAATTGTAATTGAAAAGTTTGGAAGCAATGGTCGATGTATATTTGCAGGAAATATAAGGTGCAGTCATTAGCTTGAAATATAGTGGAATACATGACTGGACCCTTTTGTGATTAAGAATATTACTGATATCAACAGCGTCACTTCCTTTACTGGCATATTAAAGTTTAAGGAAAAGACGGATTGGTTTTCTTCAGTACGACGTGCAGGTTTAAAAAGCCTATCATTTGCAATATCCATAATAACAGATCCGAGCCTATATTCTGGTGTCGAGGAATAAAAAATTTGACTTTCCTTGGCCTTTTCAAGAAAACTATTTAAAAGTTTCAAAGGGACAGAGTAAAGTTTGGTGCGAATATGATATAGATCTAACTGTTGATTTACATAAGGTAGTAGCAAAAAAAACATTGATGTAACCATCAATTGTCGCCCGGTAATTAAATAAAGTAAACACTGAAAATGAGCCTTGATCATCAAACCGTTTCGATATGTACATCTCCCACCTTACTTATATGTATAGAGCAGACCGGTCTTCCGGGTTGCAATAAATCAGAAGAGACATCGTGTATCACAGGTTAATTGTAGGACCGATGCCCATGGCTACTCTTAGGTCTCCGTGTATGGTAAAAAAAGTCCCGTCATATTTATATTGTTACACTGTGGACGGATAGGATTTCCAACACTATCGATATTGTCATTACATCCATAGGGAAATGCTGTCCCTAGTTTTCTAATCCAAAGAACTTTATTCGGTAATAACCAATATTTGCCCCCCAAATCAAACTTTGATGGAGATATATTTAATTAAGTTCTTAAACAGGGGAGTATATGCTGACTTCAAATCACTGAATATTTTCATAAGTAATGACGCCATATGTACGTAATGACGTCACAGACATGACGTAAATTTCAGTTTTTTATGAAATTCACCGAAAAATGTACATATTTCGTCGATATTTTGAGTAAAAGTCACCGAGCGCATGTGTGTTCAGGATCAATATTTTAATATAATGTGTAGAATGATAATATCAATGAAATATGTCAATACTGTTCCTGAACAAACTTGCGCTCTATAAATTTTAAAGCTAAAATTGTTGAAATTTTGTCCATTTTGTCCTCTTTCTGAAAAATGATATAAAATCGGACTAGTTTGTGACGTCATAAAAACAAAAATTGTGAATACACTGCTTTGACACCATAATATTTTCTGTTAATTTATATTTCTCATATAATTTATTGAATTCAGCACATTTCAGGAAGTTTTCAAAATTTGACTTTTGTGGGGGCAAATATATGCAATATACCGCATATAGTTCTTTCTTCACGTTATCTACGGAAAGATATACACAGTGAAGGAATGTTTGGGTGGTGATAAATCTTTTGGAGAATTCTAATTTGCATTTACCAAATAGAATGATCAGGTAAATTTAAATGTTTGAAAAAAAACTGATTACCCCCGTGATTTATTTGAAATCGATGACCTGATATTCTTTTTTAAGTGAACACTTTGTTTCACCAACATAAACAAGTCCAAACAGAGTACATTCTATTCCATAGACAAGAAACAGAGTACATTCTATTTCATAGACAACATTAGAAGATTTGCAGTTCAGATTTTTCCGAGTTTTGGTAAAGAAGCTCTGTCCAGTAAGATTACTGGTGAAAGAAGTGTTAATTATCAAAATGGCACAGGTTTTACTTTTTTACAGAAGGATATGGAGATAACGAATATCCAATATCAAAGTCCATAAAACAATACAAAACAAGAGCAGAGCAAGCACGGACATCTAAAACATCAGAGGTTTGATCAGGTGCCATGGAGGAGCGAGTATCCCCTGTTGACCTGCAACATCCGCAGTGGGCTCCTTGTCATGATCGGGAAATAACTGGAAAATCCGTCGTCAATTCAGTGTATAAGTAAGTTTGAGTATCTTTCGATATTTTGTTTTAAAGAAAAGCCGTACGATGTCATATAAGCAAACATCCTCCGAGACGGTATACAGCAAAACTCGTTTTTGTTATTACGAGTCATGAGTCGACGTCTTTCAGGAAACAAATATAATATAACGCATATATTAATGACAAGTGGCTTTCCAAAAAAAAAAAAAGACTGCAATACGTGGACCATACCATGTGATTCTAACCGAAATTCAATATAAGAAAATTTCTAGGTGTAGTGAATATTCATGTAGGTTTGTTCACATTTCGTACAATGATCTGCTTACTTTTGACTGATTGTAGTCTCAAAGCAAAATTGTTAAATTTTATCTCCGATTAGACATTAGGTTTTTTCAGTTTCAAAACATCAGGCTATTTTGATACGTGTAACCCATAATTGTCTGGACTTAACACATGTTCTGGATTTATACAGACGAAATCTATCATTGGAAAAATAGATCTGATGGTACACGTGTAGCACAGCTCTGTAGTACGCAGATATTCTTTTGTCGGAGCCTCCCTCTCCCACATTAAAAACCGTTGCTACAGACCTCTATCAAATAGTTATTATTTTGCGAGCCTTGATGCACAAATCTAATGCCGGTGAAAACTTGTTTTATCTATTAGTGTTCTTTTGAGCAAGAAAAACTTATGCTGCAAAACAAATTAGTGCAGAAAAAAATAAGATTTTCCATTAGAATTAACCGATATGTATTCATAAAAATTTGATGCGTTTTAGCCTATCGCCATCTTGGACTAGAGTAACACACTTTACCTTAGTCCGTTTCTACACAGTGAACTTGGGGAATACATATCTAAAAAATATGTTTATACTTGCATTCATTTTTACGATTTTTTTTTTCATATCGAATTTACCAAAAACAAAAGAAAACTAACAATAACGTAAATGATTGCGTGCACTTCAATACAGTTGCCTCTGAACCTTTGCCATTTATAACTTAAATTAACTCAAAGTGCCTCAATCGGCTCCCTATCTGTAGGACGCAGTCAAGCACACAGCCTTGGAAAGGTAATTGTATGAAGACATAAAGATGAAAAACTATACCTACAGTGAATTAGCTTCCTGATTTACAGCTTGTTGAAATCAGGAAGGAAAGCTCCAAAATCTATTTATTTTTCACCTCTGCCGACGAGATGTATGCTTGCAAGGGTAAGATAAAATGCGCTTGATTAAATTTGGGTGTATTTCTTCATTTTTTATGCTTCAAGTTTTAAAAAATGCAATTTATCAAGTTTTAAATCTTATTTTTGTTTTCACATACAGAGCTCTATCTTGGACTCTAAATATTCGATTAATATTCATATATTTAGACCTATCAAAACGTTAAAACTTATAAACAAGTTTTAGTCAATAATGTGCTTTTAACGTGTATGGCTTCAAAAAATAAAAAAAGGATTTACAATATTTTAAAAAACTTCCTCAATAACCGCTTCATCATGATTTGACATATGAATAAAGATGTGTCCTCAGGTGTTGTACAATGAAGTTTGTTCAATTCATGACAACCGAGGGTAAGACGGAATTCAACAGTGACTGTTGGCCAAAGTATGATATAGGAATATACTAAAATATATCTTTAATAAGACCCACGGGCTTAACGATCACAATTTAAAATCTACACTAAACAAGGACGCTTCCACGTAAGTTTCAGCTTTTCTGGCCCAGTAGTTTTGAGAAGAATTTCAAAGTATTTACTCATATACTTCAATGTGAAACTTTTGTTCCTTATTTTGGCCTCACCTTACCCCAGGGGTCATGATTTGAACACTGGCCCAGTGGCTCTTGAGAAGAAAACTTTTAAAGTTTTTTCCTATATATTTCTACGTAAAACTTTGATACCCTTTTGTGACCCCCCCTGCACCCGGGGGTCATAATTTGAACAATTTAGAATATACACCACCCGAGGATGTTTCCACATAAGTTTCAGCTTCTCTGGCTAAGTGGTTCTTAAGAAGAAGATTTGTAAAGTTTTTTCCTATATATTTCTATGTAAAACTTTCATACCCTTTTGTGGCCCCGCCCTACCCCCGTGGGTCATGATTTGAACAATTCAGAATCTACACTACCCCATAATTCAACCACATAAGTTTCTGCTTGTCAGGCCCAGCTGTCCTTGAGTAGAACATTTTAAAAGTTTTTCATACATATATTTCAATGTAAAACTTTGATTCTCTTTTGTGGCCCCGCCCTACCCCCCGGGGTCATGATTTGAACAATTTAGAATCTACACTACCCCATAATGCTTCCACATAAGTTTCATCTTTTCTGGCCCAGTGGTTCTTGAGAAGAAGATATATTTAATGCCTCAACTTATTTTTGTCTTTTCTAAATTATATCCCCTTGTGAAGGGACCTGGCCCCTGATTTTCACAATTTAAACTCTCCTTTACCCAAGAATGCCTTGTTCCAATTTTGTTTAAAATTGGCCAGGTGGTTCTTGAGAAGAAGCCGAAAATGTTAAAAGTTTACAGACGGACGGACGGACGACGGACAAAATGTTATCAGAAAAGCTTATTTGAGCCTTCGGCTCAGGTGAGCTAAAAAAGCGATCACGGTAGCCTAGTGGTAGAGCCTTCGCTTGGTGATCGGGAGGCCCGGATTCGATTCTCGTTCGCGGCGCCGCGTGAAACCTAAGGCGTAAATACAGGTAGTGACTGTTCCTTCGCCAAGTGCTCAGCATTAAAGTGAAAGTCACTGGTCTTTTGGATATGAATTTAAAATTGTAGGTCTCGTGTAACGGCGTTGGCATAATAAAGAACCCTCTCTGCTCATTACTTCTGAGTGCCGAGTATAGGTCTAAATTTGAATCCCTTTTCCGGCATATGGTGACATCTCTAAATGATCGAGTGAAAAATTATCGATTAGAACGTTATACAATAAGCAATCAATCAATCAGCCACTTTTCCCAGAGTATCACCCGTGAATTCGTGATGTTGGGGCCATGAATTTATAATTTCGCTTAGGGATCAGTTTTTATTACAATCATGCTAACAGTTTGACGGCTTAATATCGAGCAATACATTTAAGATTGTATTAATTTTGGTGGTTTTAGCCCAGCCCTAAGGTCCTTTGGAGAAAGGAGACATCAAGATTCAAAATATGCTTTGTTTGTTTCTTTTCACTACATCACTTATATATATATATTTTTCAGAATTGATAGAAATGCTTAGGAATAGCAAAAAAATTATTAGTAATATCTCTATGGATACATCTTGAGGTTGAGGATAACTTAAGTTTAAACCCCGTTAACTTTTCAATAATGAAATGATTTTTTTGTTTTTTTTCCTTACAAGTGTGGATGAGCAATATTGCTCGGTGGTCTTTTGTTATTTCTTTTATTATGATTTTTCAGAGTGAAGAGAATGACTCGCTATATCCTCCAACTTATCGTGTGTGCAACGTATACTTGTGCATATAGTAAGATTGTAACATTTTAAGTCATGCTTGTTGAATAGATTTTTTTTAGATCTGGCATGGGGGCTAGGAAAATAGACAAAAGCCGTCTCACTTTTCTTTGAAAAAAGGGAAACTGAGATCAAAAGTAAGCTCGTCTAAGTTTTATGGCCCCCGGCCAGACCATATATTATTTATAATGTATGAAACATTTTTTTAAAAATCAATATAACTTTATTCGATAAAGATAGGGAAGTGTTTGTGATCATTGCTGTATCATTAAGAGGATGTGTTCAATTATATATTTTTAAAAGAAATAAAACAACGAATGAATAAGGCGTGCTTAAGTTCTTCTTTAAACATAATGTTAAAAAAAAGCAAGAAGATTGAATTATATTTACTCTCGGTTTTGCAGAGGATATTTTATTTTTGCATACTTTAAACTTCGAATTCTAAAACAATAAATTTATTTCATATCTTTTTTTTTTTTTTAGACAATTAAGCATTACGGAAACCTGCCTGGCAAAAAAAAGATTTTTCACAATCCTGGGGAGCAGACAAGGCTGTGGATGGGATGTATACTGACCGTAGTGCTCTGGGTAACCAGTGTACAATATCAGCAAACAAACAACAGACAGCAGAATGGAGAGTAGATTTACAGAGTGTGGTCAGCATCAGTTACATCAACATCTTCTACAGGACGGATAACAGACAAAGTATATAGGAACTTCTCTCATAATTAGACAATTTAATTGTGTATTAATTAAGAAGTTTACCTTGAATTGATATGTACATAAAAAACCCACATTTTCGAAACTTGGAAGTGTGATCAATTTTTTTTTTCATATGGCATATATAAAACACGATGTTATATAATTGACCAAGACGTATATGAGATATATTTTTAAATGTTTTATTAATATTGGTCAGAGAACAAGTTATCGATTCCAGTAGAGTCACAGGAAAGAATAAGATGTATCTGTGAAGCACTGATCCCCTAGAGTGGAAACTATTGGTGATTATTAAAGTTTTTTTCAGATGCAATTCAAACTGCTAAGGTCATGATCATGATCAAAAGGTCACAAGTGATTGTATTTAATGAAAGGTCTTGTCAGGTGTATCACATCTGTGATATAAGAAAGCCTTGTGCTAACTATTCAAAAGTAAAGGCCAAGGTAAAAGTCTTTTTAAAATTTCTTAGGTCAACGATTATAATCATTCAGATGAATTTAAAGGCCTTGTAGCACAATAAATACACAGTGGAGACATGGAAGCCCTTGCATCAACGGTTAAAAAAAATTATTATTAAGATTAAAGTGTGTGTGTTGTAGTTTCTTTTGTAAAAGTGAGTCAGACCACGAGGTCAACTTCAAATTTGGTGATGCCAAAAGAAGTTTTATAAGTGCATGTTTTCCACTTTGCATGCAAGCAATGTAATGTTTTGTTGTCTCACCGCAGAGGAACCTTTACATTTCAATTGACTAGTTACATATTCTGTGTCATACATATACATGTTGCTTCTATTATATTCTTTCTGATTGTTGTAATATATTAGTTCATAAGTAAAGCTTTCTCTATGTACGATAGACTTAATATATCAACCGTGATTTCTCCATCACATTAGATAAGTTGAGCAAGAGTTATTTTAGCAATTCTCAATCAAATCTGTAATTATGGATTTCTTGTACGAGGGTTGTTCGAAAAGTTCGTGGACGATGCCCATCTTCGTTATATTAATCACTGGAAATTCAAAACAAGCACATTATAATATGTAAAAATATTTGTTTTGTTGATATGTGAAGTTTCATTCCATTCGATTTAACACAAATAGATATACTTCATTTTAAAATCAACATGTTTTGTACCCGCGGAGCACACAAAACGGCAATGTAACGTCAATACATAGCGTCGAGAATTTATAATAGATACTATACCTATACATTTCACACAGAAAATTCCAATGCCCATTCATTAAATTATTTTTTAATATTTTACAATTACTTTTTAAGAATCGATCTCATTGTATAATTTCCTTTGTTAAGGTTTCAATTTCTTTTAGTACTTAACTCTGCTTTCTCAGGATAAGCAACTCTGAAGCGCCTTTGTCTTTCATTTACGTTTCAAATTTTTAAGTTTTGTTCAGATGTTTACAGTAAAACCGTTTCTTCACAGGTCATCCTCGTCCGATACAGAGTCCCTGTCACTCAAATATTGCCTGTGCTATTTGTACACACATGCACAACTCGCTTGTGACATATTTTCTTGATTCCTTCAACAATTTTAGAGTTTATTCAGGATTTTTGCTCAGAAAAACACAAATTGCTTCGGTACATGCTACTCCGTGAGGTCATCATTTTTGTCGTTTTCAAATGGACAACTTATCTTCTCAAGTTGATTTCTTTTTAGCAAAGCAAAATATAAAACCATAATTTGGTACACTTATCGATGTAACAATTCTTAATTTGAATTTCTTGGTAGTTTTTCGTTTTTCCTCCATTTTACAGAGAATATGACTGTAGACATTATTTATTGTATTGTCTGTAACTGACTAAATTTTGACCTGCTCCGCGATCCGATTTTTGCATTTTTAAAATCTGGATAAGTTTTTAATCAATCGTAATATTTTGTCAAAATTAATACATATCATTTGGATTTATTGTTAAAATATTTCTACCAAATCTGGATAACATATGACGTCAAATAAAAAAGATATGACAGTTGTCCACGAACTTTTCGAACAACCCTCGTATACTTTTATTCCGTCTTCTTTTAAGGTCCCAGTCATTATGTGGGAAGATTTGCTGGGTTTTTTCTCTATGTTTCAAATACAACATCAAAATCAGATGGTCATCTGTGTTTTCATGAGATTCAGACCGTTAACACTACACCTGTAGAGGACCAGAGGATCAACTGTTCTGTTCATGGCCGTTATGTCATCTACTATAACGAGCGTTCTACGGGTGTAACTTATCCAAATTACTACTCCGAATATGCCTTCAACGAATTATGTGAAGTTGAAGTCTACGGTAAACTCTTAGATTACGTGTATTGCATTCCTTTATTATTTATGTTTTTGCTGTGAAAGATTTTGGGATGCATTAATTTTGCAGTGTCTGTTCTTCTATCTGTCTGTTTGTCTGCAAAATATGTGAAATATTGCCATTAACGTTTGCTTGGGTGGGGCTTTTGCTTTTATATTTTACTTATTTGACTAGATTTTTCATTGGGTACCACGAAATTTGACTTCCTTCGAATTTTAGCCACATTTACAAAACACTTTTGAAATTAGGAATTGAGGGCCGAACTGAGTTAATATTTTAATTTATTTGTTGACGTTATGACTCTCTTTAGACCAATCAAAGCTTTTCTTGTTAATC